AAGCACAAAAGCAAAGACAATTCTTTCAAGCAGCAATAAGACCTAGAAATAATGCCACTGAAGCAACTTATAAAGTAGCTTATATACTCAGGAAAAAAGGGAAGCCATTCAGTGATGTAGAAATTGTGAAACAATGCACTGGCGAAGTTGTAGGATGCTTAGAGCCCGGTAATGTTTCAAAGTACAAACAACTGCCTCTTTCAAGGAGAACTATAACTGATCAGCAGCATGAATTAGCCTTCAACTTAACAGAACAACTTCATCCAATACTTCAAGAGGAAAATACATATTAATCAATCACTTTGGATGAATCAAATGATACTACTGACTCGGCACAGGTTTTATGCTTCATTCGGGTCATAACAGAAGATTTTCTTTGCTATGAAGAGGTACCTGCTTTGGGCACTCTTGGGAACAGAACACAGAATAGATATCTTCAGCAACTTTCAAGATAAATGTCATGAAATTGGACGAATTTGGTAAATGTAATGAGTGTATGTACAGATGGTGCACCTTCCATGATAGGAAAACATAAAGGGTACATTGCATAGATTAAAAAAAGTATTAACAGGCCAGGCTTGGTGGCTCACACCTACAATCCTAGCACTCTGGGAGGCCAAGGTGGGAGGATTGCTTGAGCTCAGGAGTTGAGACCAGCCTGAGACCTAAACAAGAGCAAGGCCCCATCTCTACTAAAAATAGAAAAAATTAGTCGGGTATGGTGGCATTCATGCCTGTAGTCCCAGCTTCTTGGGAAGCTGAGGCAGGAGGATCGCTTGAGCCCAACAGCTTAAGGTTGCTGTGAGCTAGGCTGATGCCACGGCACTCTAGCCTAGACAACAGAGTGAGACTCTGTCTCAAAAAAAAAAAAAAAAAAAGTATTAAGAGATTCAGATGCTCTCATTTCTTTTCATCATATCTTGCATCCGCAATACCTCTATGCTAAAGCTACTATTTTAAGTGACACTTTGCAACAAGTTATAAGTATTGTTAACTATATTTGTGCAAATGCAACACAGCAGAGTCAGTTTCGTAACATGCTAAAATTGAGCCATGAGGTATTCAGTGTGGATTTGCTGTATCATTCTAAAGTATGTTGGCTATCACAGGGACAGGTGTTACCAAAATTTTATCTCTGCAAGAACAGATAGTTAAATTTTGTGAAGAAGAGAATCAGCAATGTGAATTTTTGAAAGAAGATTTCTATAGAAATGCAGCATTTCTGTGTGATATCTTGTCAAATCAAAACTACTTGAATATTTCTTTGCAAGGTAAAACTAAGTTTATATAGGACATGTGGCAAAAAAGCATTTTTCGAGCATTTTGAAAAAAGCTATCCTTTTTCAGAACACTTCTTCTTCAAAAGGAAATTTCAGATGAACATTTTCCCCAGTTAGCAAAGATCACTGATAAGCAGGATAATGTATGTGAATCATTTGAAGAATACACAGCTGTTATAGACCTATTATTGGAGAATACAATGAAAGGTTCACTGACTTTGAGAATAGGACATCACACTCGAATTAGCATTTCAGCCTCACCTAGTTGATATCACCAAGGCACCTAAAGAACCACAGATGGAATTGATTGAGCTCTCAGTAGATGACATTTTAAAAATCATTGTTTGATGCTTAGAAAGATCCAATTGAAATATGGAAAAATGCAGAATACCCACGCCTTCAGCAACATGCCCGAAAAATGCTTTCTTGCTTTTCATCCACTTATTGCTGCGAATTTACATTCTCCTACCTAACCCAAATCAAGATGCCCTTAAGGTCACAAATGACTGATATCCATCTAGAGGATCAACTAAAACTGTGGACCTCCATGCTGCAACCAAATATTCAAATGATTTCCAACAAAAAGCAGACACAACAGTCATTAAAAGGTTATTTAACTTTAGAAATAGTTTTCAATTTTTGAAATTATTAAGTACATAGCAGTTAGATTTTTACAAAATAATGTACATTTTAAGTATATCTAATTGAAGTTTCTTGAATGAGGCCTTATTTGATTACAGCTAAATTAATGCAGCCTTCCAACATGAAAAGTTCTCCACCTCTTTTAGAAAATCAGCCACATTTACCTAAAGTCAATTGTCATCAGCAAAGATAAATATGAGTATTTTCACTCATCTCTCACCAAATAAACATAATTAGCTCCAAATTTTTTGTTTGTTAGCAAAAATTCACATAAACAATCACTTATTAGTAATAAATTTAATGTGAAAACTAGCAGTGCTTCATTTATAGGGAAAGTAAGCTCAAGTATTAAGTTGGTTATTCCAATAATATGCATTCATAGAACAAATTTGAGAAATACATAAATTCTGAGACTTTCTTAATATTTTAAATGTTCCTGAAGCAACACAGAATTTAGTGACTGCAACATCAGTTCTTGCAACTTCATCAGTTGATCCTGGTCTGTACACACAATTAGCACATACTGGCAAGGACCCTTGCCGTGTTTGGAAGGTACCTTTGCACAAAATAAGGGGGCTCTATCAAACCGATGCTGTGAGAGAAAACCATGCTGGAAGAACGTCACATGACAGCCCTTTGAGCATAATGGACCAGGCTCCAAACTCATAAACAGTACATGAAAAATTTTGCTCGTGTGGCAAAATTGATTATATTAGTACATGACTTCAGTTAAAACCACTAAAAAGACTTCTCACTAAATCCTCACAATGACTCTGTGAGGTGTGTCCAGCCATTTACATTTTGCAGATGAGGAAAAGGAGGCTTAGAGAGGTTAAATACCTAGTCCAAGGTCATATAATTGCAGAGATTTCAACTCAACTCTACCTGACCCTGAGGCCCACACCTCAGTGTATCATATTAAAATGCTTCAGGTAAACTATTCATTTCTTTTGAGAATATTATTACCAATTTGACTGTTATCAAAATAACCTGTACTGGTGAATGTCAAGAAGGCCAAAGTGAGTGGTGAGGTGATGGGAGTGGCTATTTGACACCAGTAGCAATTGCTCTAGTTTCCTATCTTTCCCAGTGTCACTGAGAGTGATTGTGCTTCCTGGAGGAAAGAACATTGGAATTATAAAGTACATGACGCTTAGATGCTATACTTAAAACTCAGTTTGAGTCCTTGAACATTAGAGTCCTTTAGAGTTTCACATTTGTAGGAGACACTGAAAAATGATGTTGCTGGTTTGCTTTAGTGGAGATACAACTTATATTCACTTATGAAGTTTGGAAACTTTATATCTTAGAGAAAATACAAAATATTAATTATTAACCACAATTTTCCCAACCTACCATTAGGACATCAATAATATTAAACTCATGGCAAACATGTAGTAAAACTCACTGCTTTAGCCTGCATGGTTATTTCTCAAAAAGAAAAGTATTATATATATATATATACATATTCAAAAGAACATCAAGTCTGAGTTTACATTATAGACTAAGAAGAAAAAATACCTTCTTCTTGTTGGTAAAAGTCTCATGGTATTTTTGTGATGCAAATAAAAATCTGTTGGGAGTTCCCAAAGATGAGGTTTCCCTTCAGTGGGATGGAAAACTCCCAGGAAGAGATTAATGGAATCTTGTCTATCTGCATCTAAAAAGCAAAAATATGTATGTCAGAAAATCCATTACTGATGTATATAACTTGGCAGAATGTTTTCTCAGGAGGATAGTGGTACAACTGTCATTTCATAGAACATATCTCTGAAAATCGAAGTAGTATTTACACTTCAAAATACATACATATACTTCATATACACATATATACAATCTAAAACAGCCACAAAAATTTTGAGCAGAATTAAAATCTTGCTTCAAAATGTTTCCTTTTTGCTCCGTATCTCTTATAATATATATAGAGGGTAGTGAACATAAACTGCTTCTTGAATTTTGAGAAACTCTTAAAAATCCTTAAGAACTTAGCAAGAGACCTTAGACAGTAATTTTATTTTTAAAATGAAAATATATCCTCACCACTTCTTAGTTTACTTGAAGTAAATACATCTTCACTTTATTGCAAAGACAAGCAGAGACATCAGACAAATAAAATGACCTAGTTTCTATCCATATTTTGTTGCACAACCTTGAACAAGTCAGTTGCATCTGTTTCCACTTCTAATCCTTGAAACGATATTCTCCATTTCTTTAATTGAGACAATGTTTACAACATTTTTTCCCCCTCAGCTGTGAGCCTGGTCCATTTTCTTTTGTGGTTAATAATGAAGGTAGAGAGGGCACATGAATAGCAGGTTCATTCTAACTATTTGACCACTCCAAAAATTACCTTTTCAAATTATATTCCGAACTAATAAAACTGACTCTATACATGTTTTACTTCCTCTTCCTTTTCCTGATCACAATTTGGTAAAAATGATAATAAGCACTGAAGTATTCTCCTGAACCACCCTCCCCATTCTACATTCTCCTCCCTTGTATCCTTCATTCTGTCCCCTCATTTCCTTCTTTCCATTCTTGTCTCAGAGCCCTGTATATTCACTTGTGGCAGACATCCACAATATAAATAATAACCTCTCTACAAAAATGAGCATAGAACTAAAATGATAGCACAATAGAAATGACTGTGTTTGGAACAAGGTAACATTATCATAAAATCAATTTTCTTCCAACAGCTATAGTGAACACAGCTATATCTGAAATTATCAACATTGTTCTCATTGGGTTATTTGATCATTTCAGCAAAATAAAATGAATGAAATATGGTACATCAAACATGTATTTTAGTTATTAGTATTTTGACAGGAAGCATTCCATTAAAATAGCACTTACCTTTCAGGCTAAATATAAAATATACAAGGGATATGTTTATATACTGAATATATGTGGGGCCTTTTTTTCTACTTTTTGAGAGAAAACATCAAGTATTAAATCATGCAGACATCGCTGGCCCAACTTGCACCCTCGTTACATAATATAAAAGTAAACATGCTGCCCTTTATGCTTCTTAAATTGCCTTAAAGGCACTTAATAGTTCATTCTATCTCCAGATATCTTTAACATTAGGTACAAAAGCTTTCCATTTTTCAGCCATGTTTTCAAGGAGATTTTCATCCTTTAAACTTAATAGTAGCTTCCTTTAATTTTTAGCAAGTATGGTAAAATGTAAGACATGAGAAACATAACCAAAAAAAGGATATTCCTTCGAAGGACGATAAAGAAGGCTTTTTAAAAGTACTAATGTTGTTATAACTTGAAATGTAACTATGATGTTTACAGTCGCTTACTAAGCTTGGGCTGTAAGGCCAGCCTAATGAACCTGAGGATCTCATCCTGGCTACTTTTGACTGCAAATAAGATAACCACCTCTAGGAAGACGGTAGTATTCAACACTTTGGATATGGACAGGAGCTTAAAACGGGTAGGTTCTCTGTAGTTGTGGATAACAAGAGGGCAAAATGATGACCTACTTTTATATTCAATCATGCTTTAAAGCTGCGGTCCTCAAACCCTGGTCCCAGGCCTGTTAGGGACCAGGCTGAAGAGCTCCACTGTGCCCTGCCCTGCCCCGTTCCTCCATGGAAAAATTGTCTTCCATGAAACTTAGAAAGCGAGGGAGGGTTGCACAGTAGGAGGTGAGCGGTGGTAGGCTGGCATGAAGCTTCATCTATATTTACAGCCACTTCCCTCCCCGTCCCCTGTCCATGGAAAAATTGTCTTCCATGAAACTGGTCCCTGGTGCCAAAAAGGTTGGGGATCACTGCTTATAATGTTGGGTGAAGGCATTTCAATGCTGTTTTCTGTGACTATAGCTTTCCATGCCTGGTGAGCTTTGAAGTCTTTACCCTTGAGCTTTTTAGTTACATCTTTGTTTGAGGAGGACATGGTTTCCACCCACACACACACATTCACTACACTTAAATTACATACATATGTGTGGGTGTATGTATTTGTGTATGTATGTATATACACAGCAAATCTATTATTAACTGGTTACAGGTATACAACTTTCTTTTCCTCCTAATAGGATTTAAATTCAACAGCTTCAGCAAGAAAATCCAAGCTTAAAAAATTAGATTGTAAAATAAAATTAGAAAGAGCTTAACAAGGTCCTTAAGGGAATTAAAAGCTCTTCCTAACATCTGAAGGAAGTACCTAGACATCCATGCTTTCTCTGTAAGGTATCCTCCAACTGCCTATGTAACTAGTTATGTTAGAAACTAAAAGGTGATTCCCAGAGACAAACCCCAGAGCATGCTAGTATGTATGTGAAGCCTCAAGAACAGTATTAAAAATGAGCCTGAAAGAGGGTAAGTCGCCTAGCATCAATTTGTCCATACAAACCAAGGGTAAAATTCTTAACAACCTAATTTCACTATTCTAGTTCCTTAATCAGTATCTTCCTGACTAACTCAGAGGCATAATGTGAGGAAACTGATAAAGTTTTGCAAAGTTATCCTGAGTGCTTTAAAGAAAATTATTCTATAATATATTGTCATCATTATATAATTCCCATTGTAATTTAAAAATAAGTTGTATGCTCCATGACACTATGCTTCTTAAAATAAAGAATTCTGTTTTAGCCACATTATTCATGAAATCATTCCTTTCATAGTAGTTCCTTTTTCAGATGTGCATAATTCTACCTTACCTTCCCATTATGTGCACATCCCTTTCTCATGACCATCTTTATCTTTTAATGTTCATTTCTTTTTGAATCATTTATAGCTAGACATTCATTCTCTCTGTCCTCTAGTCTTATTAAAAAGCACATTACTTGTCCTTAAGTGTCAATAATGACTCCCATTTACAGGGACAGTGATGACAGGAGAAGGCAGAAGGGAAGATGTTCTTTTTCATGGTGACACAAACCCAGAGAGATATGTTCCTGCTGGGACATGACTTATAATTACACCCCTTCACCTCCTCCATAACTTTTATAGGTTGAATTGTGTCTTCCAAAAAGATGCATTGAAGTCCTAAATGCTGATACCTGTGCACGTGACATTATTTGGAAATAGACTCTTTGGAGACACAATCAAGTTAAGATTCAGTCCCACTGGAATACAGCAGGCCATTAATGACTGGTGTCCTCATAAGAAGAGGAGAGTCACACAGAGGGGGAGAATGCCATGAAGACACAGACATGAGGAGAGAACACCATGTGACAACAGAGGCATTTGCAAGCCAAGGAACACCAAGGATTGCTAGTAACATCCAAAAGCTAGGAAGAAGCAAGTAAGGATTTTCCTCTATGGGTTTTCGGATGGAGCAGGGCCCTGCTGACATTTTGATTTGACTTCTAGCCTCCAGAACTGTGAGATGATAAATTTCTGTTAAGATACCAGTTTGTGCTGTTTTGATACAGTAGCCCTAAGAAATTGATATGCCGCTTATGTGTATTTGGAACCTGTGACTTGCTTCTGACCAATGGGATATGGCAAAGGTGATGGGATGTCACTCCCATGATTATATCACATTACATAAGATGATCTCGCTAGCAGATTGAGTCTATAGACTCTCTTTCCCTTGTTAGCTATGAAGAAGCAAGCTGCTATGAGTCCTACAGCCACGAGGAACTACAAGAAACTGAATTCTGCCAACATATGAGCTGGGAAGCAGATCCTTCCCTAGCCAAGCATCCAGATGAGATGACAGCCTGGCTGACATCATAATTGTAGCCTTGTGAGATCCTAAGCAGAGGCCCCAGTTAAGTTGTACCTAAACTTCTGGTACACAGAAATTGAGATAATGAACATGTGATGTTTTAAGCTCTGAAGTTTGTAGTAATTTGTTACACAGCATAGAAAACTAATACACTTGAATAAGAGCACAACCAACTGTCTTTACATCTCTCTGGGCCTAGAAAATGCTGAAAAGATGACTCTTAACGGATGCTTTCATGGATGCTCCTGAGGTTTCCACCATGAAGGACTCTTTTGCAATTCCCTTGGTATGGGCACAGGCATCTGTTTTTATCAGGCAGTTTCTTGCAACTCTTCCCTTAACTCCTTAGGTATCCAGTGTTGACCTCCTGGTTCTTGCTGCTAGGGTCTCTGTCCTTGCAGGTGCCTTACTGGCCAGGCCTGAGGCCAACCCTCTGCTCGCAGCCTCCTCCATGAGACCCACATCTGGTTACCAGTAAACACATCATGTGCCCTTTGGCCCAACCAACTGTCGGAGTGCAGGCAGTTCCCAGAACGGCAGCACTCTCCTCAGCCCATCCCTCTGCTTTAGATTTGCTATGCAGCAGTCTGAGGCCTAGGCGTGAGGTCCCTCCAATGGCAGGACACCATGTCAAGCCTACCCAGAGTCCTGCTGAAGTCCACTCTCTCTTCCACTGGGAATAGCTGCCAGCCATTGCAGGCCACATTTCATGCCAAAGGACCTCTTTACCAGTCCTTTCCATATTCTGTAAACTTTTTTACCCGTAATCTGGTTCAAGGGCTGAAGACTCATGGAACAGATCATCAAGCACTTCCCTTGTAAATTCTGCGCATGAGGATTTGTCTCACAATCACTTTGGTCTGTGATATCTATTGTATCGATAATTCCATCAGAACAGAGGCAGGAAAAGTGCCACTTTAACAATGTATTACATTTAGTATTCACAAGTCATAAGAAAGTATAATTTAATGCGTATAATTCAATGCTATGTTACAATTCATTTCTAGCTGACATTTAAAAATTTCAGTGATATTTACATTCCTAGAGAACTGTCAAGACTTTGGACCCTATTTTAAAAAATAATGACTCAACACCCTCAAAAAATTTATCTATATATTGCAAGCAGAAATATAGAAGGGCACAGAAGCCAAGGAATTAAAGTATGTTGCATTATACAAAAATGCTAATTATGGGTGCCAAAATGCAAAAGTGTCCTATTTAAAATATAAAATGTTTGTTCATTCATTTGTTGAATAAATATTTATTGAGTACCTTCTAAGTGATAGACTGTTTTATTTAAATTTTTTAAATAATTAATTTTTATTTTACTTAGCCAAATAGCTAAAAAAAAAATGTACATGTTTAAAAAGATATTTGCATATCACAGTATGTCTTAGAAATGGCTATTACTCAAGAATTACCTGAAAAAGCATTGCTATAATATCTAGACAGGGTTTGCATGATGTCTTTTGAGTGCTGGGTCCACGGTGCTATCTTTCTATAGGTTTTTACACGGTGAACAAGTTGAGAACCACCATACTGAAGGGACAGAGTATCACCATGATCTTCATAGAGTTCCTCAAATAACCTAAAAAAAAAGAAAAGCTCACATGGAAGAATTTTACCAAAATTATTGTACGAGTTACTTACTTAGCCATAGACTCAAAACAGGTCTTTTACTTTATGAATTTTTCTGAGCCTCTCCTTTCAAGTAGACTCTTTAACATCTCGCAGATAAATGCAAATAGAAAACGCATTACAGTTTATAGTGATATTCCAATAAGCATTAAAGTCATAGAAAACACTAAAAAGGAAACAGAGGCACCAAAAACATAACCCACGAAAGGCAGACCATGCTGTTTCTAACCATATTAAAAGACTCCTAACTTTCTGCAACCTTCCAGATCAATTCACCTTCCATAACAGAATTTTCTGTGCCCTCTGAATTGCCTTTGATAAAAGGATATGCTCTTGTCACCATGCCTTAGTCTGTCTGAGCTGCTATGACAAATTACCATAAACTGGGTGGCTTATAAAGAGTAAAGATTTATTTCTCATAGTCGTGGAGGCTGGAAGTCCAAGATCAATGTGCCAGCAGATTCAATGTCCAATAAGGGCCCATTTCTTGATTCACAGATGATGTCTTCTCACTGTGTCCTCACAAGACAGAAGAGGCTACCTATCTCTCTGCGGTCTCTTTTATAATGGCACTAATCCCGATCATGAGAGTTCCATTCTCAGATCCAATCACTTCCCAAAGGCTCCACCTACTAATGCCATCATTTTAGGGGTTATGATTTCAATATATGAATTTGGGGAAGACACAAACATTCAGATCACAGCAGACAGGCAAACCATACTCTTTCTTAGAGATAGGTACATATTTGAAACTTGTGTTTCTTAAAGTGCCTATTAATGTTAATATTTTCAGTGCAGTGATATCTGTGGATCTGGCCATTTGTAAACTGATTACTTTCCTAAACTAAGCCTTTATGGCAATCTCAGATGACCATTAACAGCTTTCATTGTATTTTCAAGAAACAGCACTTTATGAAATGTCACAGATCCAATGGACAGTGAAGAAACAGCAATCCTTAATGAAGAAACAATCTTTTATAAGTCATATTTTTACTTAAAAATGTATGAAGGCACAGTATTTATTTTAAAAAAATTATCATCTGGATTTGTTTTTAAAAACACCTACTAGATGGTCTAAGCACTTTAGATTTATCTAAAGAACATAGTGTTTATTGGTAACTAACACAAGCAAAAAAAAACCACCCCCAAACCATGACAATATCCAAATTTTTAATAGAAAAATTTATTACAGAATGAATTTGAATAATGTCCTCTAACAACATAATTTTTGAGAGGCTAAAAATAGAAATGTATTGATAAAAATCTTTAGTAATAATCAGGCTTGTTTTCTGTCATTATTGGCATTCGGAGAGCAGAAAATGAGGCTTACCTAACTGCATCTGTATCAAACTGTAGATTAGGTTTGTCGATCAATCCCAGTGAATACAGCTGATAAGCCAGGGCACATTTTCCCACCATAAACTGTGCTGTGTTGGTGCGATCTAAACAGTCCACACAATTGGTTCGCAGGATGCCAGTCTGAAAAGAAACACCTTAAGATGTCCAATCATTATTCAGCCACCAAAACTATTTCCATGCTACTTTATATTTCTTTACTTTAAGAAGCAGAAGAAAGGCTATGGATCATTCCTGAATAAATATTAATTATTTAGTTTTATGTAAACTTAAAGTTCAAAACAATGAAGAACATTTTAGAAATTGATATAAGGTTATCTTTAATGCTCACTTACATTGTTGTAACACCATCATCAAACCCTCTGGTCTATATTTGAATTTAATTCTTTACTTTAGCAAGATAAAATAGCTAGAAATTTCCACATGTATCAATTAGTAAATTATGGGCTTTTTCCTGATATGTCTCCTTTACTGTACAAACTAAATATTCCGTAGTTGAGGCCATATCATTTTTAAAGCATAGTCAGTAAATATAGTGTAGTACCTGGCTTGTTTTCCAAAGTCACTCTAATTTATTCTGTTCAAGTTTCTGTTTGTTTCTATTTCCAGTAAAATTTAATATACAGGAAAAAAATCTGTATCATTTCAGGTACATATTTTTCCATTAAGGGTTAAACACTAGCAGTAAGGCTTTCTAAAAATCATTCTCAAATAATTAATACTTCTGCATTAAATATTAATAAGATGTATCTCTCTCCATGGCTGCTTACAGAAAGCATTATACAGTACACTGTGTATACAGATTCTACTCATTATTAATATAATATTGTCTATACCTGCAGGCGACCAGTGGGAATCACACATCCTCCCAGTTCATTCCACCTGTGTTTAAAAATACATGCTTAAAACATCAATTGCATAATATATATTTATTCTGGTACTAGCTCTTTGTTAAGAATCACAGAATTAAAGTAATACAGCCAAAGACCCTGAAAAAGCAGCTGATTCTGTATATTCTTATTCTTTCAGGTAAGTGAGAATATGCAAAAAAATGGGATGGACTGCTCACCACACTCTCCCCAAAGAGAGCCCAGGAGAGGGGCATCTTAAGTTGCCCCAGTTTCCCCACACTTTGTCATTTTGTCACCCACATTTGACCAAAATCTCCCTTTCTTTCATTCAAATCTGTTTCCTGTTTGGTTTCTATAGATATGAATAATAATTGTAGGGCATGTTTCTAAACAAGTCTTCCAAGCCTCAGCCTTCTCCACTCAGCATTAGGATTCTCTACCTCCTCCAGCGTTTCTCCGTGGATCCCCTGTTACATTCCTCTGGTTGTTTCTGCAGATTTTCTTTTAGGGACTACTTATTTTCTCCATGCACTAATGAATGCATGGGAATGTATTTTGTTATGAAATACTACACAATGATATTAATATTTTAATTATTTAAAAGAAGGTGCTGTGCAGAAAAGAGTTAACATAATAGGCCTACTGTCTTTAGAAAGTCCTGCTTACAGGTTGGCCCTTGGCTAATGTCTGGGAACTCGGATTTCAGGAGGGTTTCCAACATTCCCAGGACTGGTAAGAGTGCCTCACTATTTGTAGACACAATATGGTTTCTGCTGAACACCTTCTTTCCTTCCGGGAGTCTGGAATTTTGGTACATGCCAATATAGGCTGCCTGTGTGGCCAGCCTCCAGTAAAAAACCCTGAGTCTCTAACAAGCTGTCATGGTTGGCAACATGTCACACATGCTGCCATAACTTGTTTTTGGGAGAATTAAGTGTGTTCTCTGTGACTTCACTGAAGAAGATGCTGGAAGCTTGTGCCTGGTTTCCTCTGAACTTTGCCCCTTGTACCTTTTCCCTTTGAAATTTTGCTTTGTATCCTTTCACTGTAGTATATCATAGCCAGAGTACAACAATATACTGAGTCCTTGAGTTTTCCTGTGAATCCCTGAACCTGGGAATGGCTGGGGACCCGTCATGGATGCACTAAAATTCAAACTATGACAAATGCAAGCAATGCAAACTATAACCAAAGGATTACTTACAAAGATATACACACTAATAGTTGTTTGTTTTTTGTTGTTTTGCCATTGTAGTTAACTATGCTGACTAAAAATAAAATGCTGGAAATATATAATGTTGGTTCCTGAAAAGATAAATAAAGCATAAATCCTTGATCTGAGGAAGCTCAAAAAGTAGTAATGAAGAAAGATTTGTGAGCAAACAACTATAATAATAAATTTTATTTTCATAAAAATGTTAGTATTTAATCTGTAAGAAAAAATTTCCCTGCTCCTATTTAATGCTGAATTCACTGTAGACAATTCCGCTTTACAGAAATATTTTATGTAATGTTTATTCCATGAAGCAAGAGACAAAGATCTTGTGGCTTTCATCTCAAGGGATATAACCACCAAAGGAATTCCCAGGCCCACAGTGCATATTGAGGACACAGTCACATGGGCAGTTTGGCTTCCCAAAGAACTAAATTATCCATATTCCGAGTATACAAACTGCTCATATTTAAAATATTTTTAAACCTAAGAGCAGAAATCTTGATTTATTTTAAGTTTTTAAATACCATACATACTTTTCATCTGGTCGCAAAATGCTACAGTAAGAATCAGGACGGTTGACAAAGAAACCTGTTTTCTTCACCACGCTTTCCGCAATCACATTCAGTCGATCAAGAACATTACAGAGCTTGCTAAGGAGAGAAGGAAGAATGAGAAAAGTAAGAACCCAAGTTTTAATACATATTTATCCTTATATCTAAAGCAAAATAAGTCCGTAAGTAATGACATTCAGGGATAAAACTTTTAGAATCTCTTGGCTTGTACTTAATAGGAACACTGTAACGATGTCTAGAATATAATGTGTACTCAGTAACTAGCCACATTTGATGCAAAAGAGACATGAAGGACCTGTCACTTAACATCAAGTATTGCTGATCCTTAATCTTGGCGCATGACATCCCTGCCAGAGCTTTTTGCAAAGCTTTCACTCCTCAAGAGTTGTCAGTCAAGTCAATATACATTCATAAAAGGACTGTGGAAAGGGCACAATGCACAGCATAGGTGGGAAGAAAAATTGGAAAATATAAATTGCAACAACTTGTAATCAAGCTTATACTGTAGGAAAGTGTGTGTACACATGCATGTGTGTGTGTCCAACTACATAAATAATTTAGAAAAAAGTACAATGAATTAAGTATAAAACAATATAGTAACATTTTAAAAATGAGACCTTAAAGTAAATCTAGAGCTTATATGATGTGCAGCAAGTGAAAAGACAATGCAAGGTTTAATGAAAGAAAGTTCCTTAGAAGAGATGAGTTTTGAATCAGACCTTGAAAGATAGAAGAGGCGTGGACATCTAGAAGAGGGTAGAAGCACCCCAGGGAAGGTGAACGATAGGCACCAGGGCCCTCTATTCCTATTATTAGGAATAGAGGCTCAGGGATGGGACTTTGGCTGCTACATTTGGGGCAGAGAATGAAGATTAGGTTTTCTGGACTGGAACAGCCACGGGAATAAATAAAAGTTATTACATTCTGAAACCAACCAGGCTTTAACATTACACTAAGGGGTTTGGATTTATTATAAAGAGTCTAGAATGACTGCAGGTTTATCCACAAATGACAACCTGGAAGTGGTGTCTGACAAAGTGTTTAAATAGTAAGACAGAATGAAATAGATGAAAGTGAAACTAACACCTTACAGGAACAGTAGTAGAGATGTTCTGAAATGACTAGATATTTCAAATAGAATTTGCAAATGGTATATAACTGTGATCCCCAACCCCTGGCCCTCAGACTGGTACTGGTCCATGGCCTGTTAGGGACCAGGCTGCAGAGCTCCACTCCCCCACCCCCTGCCCCTGTGGAAAAATTGTCTTCCATCTTCCATGAAACTTAGGAGGCAGGGGGCACAGCAGGAGGTGAGCTGTGGGCTAGCTTCATCTGTATTTACAGCCGCTCCCCATCACTCCCCCATCTCGCCGCCTGAGCCCAACCTCCCCGCCACCCCCAGTCCATGGAAAAACTGTCTTCCATGAAATTGGTCCCTGGTGCCAAAAAGGTTGGGGACCGCTGGACATGACAGGCAAAAAGAAAAAAGAGTTTGGTCAATTCATTTAGGCTCTCAAAACAACCCCTCAGCAGGTTCACAAAGTAAATTAAATGGGTAGCATTTACTTTACCATAGAGGTCTGCTTCCTGCTATTTGTCATTATAAGAAGAGGAAACTATCACAACCAAATGAGTATCACTCGCCTCTTGGTGTACTTGGCCATATCCCAAGGAATATAAACAATAGTGTGCTCAGGAGGCAGAAACTGATTGAGGTAGGTCACAGCAGCGACAAGTTCTTCACTCAGAATTCTTTCGTGCTTTCTTTTCTCTCTCTCCTGAATCAAAAATTAAACATTCTCAGCATTCTAATTACCTTAAGTCAGAGGAACAGACTTTTCACATTTTTACTTTTCAGCTACGTTAAGACAAAAAGCCCAAGTCTCAAATATACTGAAATGAAACCTAGCTACTATAACTGAAATAATATAAATGCAAAGAAATAAATGCTTCATTGAATTAATGTCAACAGACAAGGAGCTTAAAAGGGTCAAGGAGATCAGCCTTCTTCCTGGTAACCTCCCCACAGCCCCAAGAAGCCCAGCTCACTCACACCCCACTCTGGTAGAGGAGACTCCTCCCAAGAACCAGAAGAAAGGAAACCCCAACTTCAGCCAGCTGAGGGCCAGAGAGAAACCAACTGGTCTGGATGGACAATCCCCAAACTGGCATAGCAGAGAGCACATTTCACGTGCTTTTAAATTTGACTTGCAAAATACCGTGAGATAGCCAAGACTGGCATTATTTTCTTTTCACACTGTGGCCGAATGCGCCAAGCTTGAGAGGCATTCATGGCACTAACGCTCACCTTCTGCCCCCTTGCCTGTGGCACCTCCTTAGATACTGCACTGCCTCTCACTCAAGAGGGCCTAGCACTTTATGGCACAGCCTTGAGGTTGGAATGTCAGCTCTGCCGCTCACTAGCCGTGTGGCCTTAGGCAAGGTTCTCAGTTTCCCTTGGCCTCCATCTTTTCATCTATAAAATGGGGTGACGATATTATCTTGCTTACAGCATTAATGTGAGGTTTAAATGAGATAAAGCACGGTAAGTTCTGATAACACCTGGCACATGGTAAGTACTCAATAAAAATTAGCATTTTTTATTGTTATCCTGATTGGGCCCTGACTTAGAAACAAAGAAAAACAATTAATTCCACAGTAGTGACACTGAAATGGTGTTAAGGTACTATTGCTGGCATCAAAATACGTCTGTGCTGTTTTCAATCATGGAGTTACTTTCCAATTGCCATGAATATAATTAGATAACCTCCGTGGAAACAAAAAGGGGTGTCTATTGTGCACAGCCGAACAAATCCAAATGGAAGAATTAGATAAGAATTGATTAAGAACAGTGTTAAATCCACTTAGGATGAAAATATATTTAGCTTATTTTCATATCTGAGAAAATTACCTATCTGGAATTTGTCTCTAAAGCACTTTAAATCAACTAGGGAAACGAAATCTTTCTGAAATTCTTATATCAAATCTGACATCTTGGAGATGGAGAGGGAAGGCTATTTAAGCAATCTTCATTCATCTCTGTGTAAAAAATCTGTCTGTCCATAGTGGATTAGAATTAATGTATTATTTACTCACCCTCCTTAGGGCTGTAGACTCCTTTAACAACCAAATGAAAACTTCACATATGCAAGTCGTTTTGCACATAATCTCAAAGGGTTCAGAGATGTCCCTAACAGTCATCCATGGCCCCCAGATTAAAAACCTCTGATGTACAGTTTAAGCTTGATCCCAGGTTGACTTCCTATCTCTACCCAGTAGCACTGAAGGCATGAGGATTGCTGCAAACTGTCTTTCAACTGGTGCCTCAAACTTTCACAGCTGGGGAGAAGTTCACAACACAGGGTGAACGAGAAAAGAAATCAAGAAAAGCATTTCCCTTTAGTACCCTCTTCATATAGTGGTAGGATAAAGAGTTAATATCCCTTGGTATCATTCTATTCACACACGCATTCTTTGGCTCTTTAATCACAAGTTAATAAGGTCTTCTTCCAAGTAAACTGAATAAACATCCTTTTTCCTATGAATAACATAACTAATGAGAAAAACAACAAAATGTTTTTCTATTCCATGAAACAGCAATTTAATCTCCAAACTATTCTCTAGCTAATTTGTAGTTATTGTCAGGATTTTTATTACAATAGAACAATAAACAAGTACAATTTTAAAATCCACTTACTGGCCTTTAAATATTCAAAAATTAATGTACATATGGGTAATCCAGAAAAGAAGAATTTATAATGATATGTATGTGATAGTATTTTTGGAATGTGCATAATTAATAGAGAATTATTTCAAGCACCATAGACCTGAATCTCCATTTAACCACAGCATTTCAACCACACCATAAGAACTCTGTAAAACATGAACAAAATCCACTAATTTAGGTCGAGGTTTATGTTCCAGTAATACTTTACTTAAGCAATAATTTATTTCTACACTAACAGTATCTTATTTTCAATACATTTACTGGAAAAGTGTTCATGAACATTTTCATTATTAAAGTTTTCCTATTTTAATTTTTTAATTATGTATATTACAGCTACTGTTCAATACTAGGCAAAGATTAGATCCAGCATTGCCTTATATTTAATATTATTCTGAGCTGACAAAGAGAGAAATGTGAATATGAACTTTCTGCATCAATGTGAATAAATGTCTAGAAAATGATGTATTAAATATCTGAATGATCTATTTTACAAAGTCAATCTCTGGTAGGATGCAATTACATAAACCAAAGAGCACCAAAGGAAGAAACGAAGGTGATTGCCTCATTGTCTTCCTCCTCTCCCCTCACTGCCAATTTTGGGACATATTCCTCTATACTCTTGATTTGAAACACACACACACACACACACACACGCACACATACACACTATATATATATATATATATACATATATATATATATAAATCTCCTGCTCCTATGAGCCCATGTGTGTAGTTATTCAGATCTCCCCTGTGAACAATCTCCCTCCCCACCCCAAGCTTTTCCTCCATCTGGGTGACTTTCAGCACCTTGTCCTCCTCTTCCATTCTAGTGCAGTCTCCATTCCCACCCTCACATCTCAGATCAAGTCATCATCACAGGTAACTAACTGCTCTGCCTTCAACATTTCTTATCCAGAACTTCTTTTATTTTCAAATTGCTTTTAAATACCCCATCTCATGAGGACCTCAATCCACTGACAGCTTTGCTTCCTCCATCAGTCCTCTCCTTTACACTCCATCCTCGGCCAGCTTAGATTTCATGGTCCACCTCAATCATAGTATTGCCAATATCCCAAATCCTTTGATCCTTTTTATGTCACACCTCTCTGGCAAAACTAAATGAGGCCAATCATCTATTTCACCTGTGCTTATACCTATACACAAGCCCTGCTGGAAAAAACCAGGCAATAGCAGAATGGTTCCCTTTAAGAAATCATGATCACCAACTTGAAATTAGCTCTCAGTACTGCCTGGATGTTTCTTGCCAACATCCTCCCACACACACAAGACTGTTAAACCTTCTCCACTCCCCTCAAACTTCCATTCTCAGCAGACGACTTTTCTTCCTCCCTTAAACAGAAAGTAAAGTGGAATGTGTCGTGCACACACACACCTTCACCCTTACGATTCCCTGTCCCCCCATTAAATCCCCCATCCATCTTTCGGATTTCAACATTTCCTACTTTCTTAGATGCATGAAATCGCTGATCATCCTTTTTCTCTCCTGTGCCCTGTAACTCTCCGTCTCAAATGGATCCCCTCCATAGGCTTTTAAACATATCGACGTGATTTCTTTAAAAAAAATACAAACACATCATCTTTCACTAGGTACTCCTACTGGGGGTAAAGTACTATACTCACTGCCACCGCTTGCTCACTTTTATCCCACACCTCAGTCCATATCAGTCAGCGCTCCCCATGGTGCTTACGCCAGTGAGCATTTTTTTCATTTTCATCTTACTTGACCCCTTAGCAGCACTTGACACTGTTGACCACTTACTCCCCTCTATCGTAAAACGTGCTTGGTGTTCCTAATGTGGCCCCTCCTGGTTTTCTTCCTACTCCTCTGGCTGTTTTTTCTTTGACTCCTTTAGAGATTCAGCCCATTCTAACTGGACGTTAAGAGCTGGAGATCTTGGCTGGACATGGTGGTTCATGCCTGTAATCCCAGCACTTTGGGAGGCCAAGGCAGGAGGATTGCTTGAGGCCAGGAGTTCAAGACCAACTTGGGCAACATAATGAGACTCTGTCTCTACAAAAAATTTAAAAAGTTAGCTGGGTGTGGTAGCACATGCCTGTAGTCCCAGCTGCTTGGGAGGCTGAGGCAGGAAGATCGCTTGAGCACAGGAGTAGAGGTTACAGTGAGCTACGATGACGCCACTGCACTCTAGCCTGGGTGACAGAGCGAGAACCTGTCTCTAAAAAAGAAAATCTTTTTTTAATTAAAAAAAAAAAAAGTTGGAGATCCCAAAGACTAGGACTGAGGTTCTTCCTCCCCTCACTCTATACTCTCCATATGCACATTCCATCCATGCCCACACCTTCAAACGTCACCTGTACAGAGTCACAAAATCATAACTCAGCCCAGACCTCTCCTCTGAGCTCCTGACATATACTGACCGCCTCCTGATGTATACTTACCTCCTTTCATAGGAGTCAAATACACCTCAAACCTCTGCGTGTCGAAGCTGTACTCACGACCTTCCCCCACAAACTGAGTCAGTTAGTGAAAGGCATCGCTGTTCATCCACCTGCGTAAGCCAGAAACCTAGGAATCAAGCCTGACTCCTCCTCCCTCATCTCAATCCAGTCTACTGAGCACATCCACTTCTCTCCATTTCGGCCACACCACCCTGGGTTAAGCCAGAACCACCTCTTTTCTGGACAATTACAACAGCCTTCAATTTCGCCTTTCAGCATTGACTTTAGCCTTGTACCAATCCATTTGTTCCCTACATTGAGGTCACGGTAATCTTTTCAAAACATAAATCTGATTATGATCCTCTCAACCATGCAAGAGTCTTCAATGGCTTTCCATTGCTCTTAGGAGGAGACCAGACTCATTAATACACACTATGATGCTCTCATGGTCTGGCCGTAATTATTAGTATCTCTTTAGCCTCATCTCACAACAAGCTCTCTTGCCCTGATCTCTGGGCCCCAGCCACACAGATCTTCCTTCTCTTCCTCAAACCTGCCACACTCCCTCCTCTCCCAGGGCCTTTGTACACGCTGTTCTCGCCAAGTTGAATATGATTCTCTCTCCTCTTGCCCTGGTTAATGCCTCTTCCTTCAGGCTGATGCTAACTCATCACATCCCCAGAGAAGACTTCCCCGCTGCCATCATCAGCTCTCCTAGCACCATTTCCCTGCATTGGTTCCTTTGCATTGCTTCACCACCTCCTCCAACAGACTGCTGACTCCAGGCCTCGGCCCACAGGAAACCCTCAAAAACACTGGCTAAATGACTAACTAAATCGACAGAGGGTTCCTTGGTTATTTAGTAAATTAACTTGCATTTATTAACCAACCTCTCAGAATAACCTCAGATACTACTAGGTTGCTGGCCACTGCCACAACCATGTTACATAACAAACCCCTGGATTTTCATACTCAGGGTCTTCTTGGCTGCTAAGATTCTTCCAATTCACTTGGTTTCAACTGATGCAGATAAAGTTTGTCATCTGGTCTCCCTGCCCCCATCCCAGGCCTCTGACCCATACATCCACTCATACACACAGATATGCAGACTAGTCATTGTGCTCTGGCAAGGAAGCAGAGAACTAGGAGCCGATACCACACCTTGTCTGGGCTTCTTACCTGCCCATTTGATTATTGATCCACAACAGTACCCCAATTTCTGACTCTAGCCTTTTGATCCTATTACAACATATTAGTTTGCCCAGGAGATCTCCTGCACTGTCAAAGGAGCTGGCTGTATCAAAGCTAAGCTGTGGTAGTTTCATCTTCATTGTTTCCTTCTCCAAGTTGTCCTGGAAACTAAGGCAGAAATTTCACCCACACCTAACTCACACAAGGAAATCAGGAACCTGATACAGTGAATGACTCTCTTCCCTTGGAAATACACTACTGATTCCTCCAGGCAGGCAGGGAAGGGGCCACATGGAATCTGAGGCTACAGGACAGTGGCTCAGCTCAGACACAGTGAGTTGTCCCAACATGATAATCTGCAAGTCTGTCCTCTGCTGACCCCCTTGGTGCTGTGGAAAAGGTTGCCCAGTGTGTTTGAATCTTACAACCAACAAATGAGCACACTGTACCTTCACTAAATTCAAGATGATAATGGGGGAGCCAAACCTCTGAAGCATCTGGTCAAAGTGAAGGGCAGCCACATGTGCAAATGGATCTGCCTGGTCCACTAGGAAAGAAAAAAGACGAATAAACACCTAAATGAAAATTATAAAGCAGAAATAAAAGAAGTACAGGGTTGTTTTTTTTTTAATGTTTACATAATGTAATTCGACTCATCTTCCTTC